TTTGGTTACAATTATTTCCTGACAATGCAGACTGCAAAATGTGATTATTAGGCTTCTGTTAAACCAACATTGACCTCCCTGGTTTGTAGTGATTGTGTGGGCTGGCTGACTTGGAATATCTAAGTTGTATCAGGTGTGACTTTGCAGGGAGAACAAGAGACAACATGTTTATATTCTAGAACCTTCTTAATCTGAGCATCTCAGGTAAATCATAACCGTGTGTAGCAGGTTTAAGGCTTACAAGACATGGCTTGGTAAAAAAGCTGGAGTCAAATATGATGATCCGTCAAAGTTAATGTCACATCTGGGGGGTGGGGTAGCCTTGTAGTTAAAGAGTTAGCTTGTCATGCTGAAGGCCCAGGTTCGATTCCCAAAATGGGTACAATGTGTGAAGCCCATTTCTGGTGTCCCCCACCGTGATATTGCTGTAATATTGCTAAAAAAAGTGTAAAACCATACTCACTCACTCACTCACTCACTAACGTCACATCTGCATGACCACAAATAAAAGGACAGTAAAACATTTAGATGATGTATCACATTTTTTTGCTTGATAAAGGCGGCGTAAAACCATACTCACTCACTCACTCACTTGGATGCGATAGTTCGGCCAATGTGTTCATCTGTGTAGCCCAGCTACATCAATGGGGAACAACTCACGAGACACTTCCCTCTAAAAAATAACGTCGTCCAATAAGTGACGTCATCAAGTTGTGAGCACATTTTCAAACCTCCAGAAATAACGACATGATAGAACAATGTTTTATTGTGAAATAAGCCATGCTTCATTCTTCATTGCTCTATGCGATTTATCACATAGCTATGTTATATGACATAATATGAGCACTATGTGGCCTAATACTGGTAGTCCATGGCCTGATTTAGGCAATATATATATATGACCTAATATGGCCAAATATTGCCACATAGCTTGTCTTGAAATGAACTTTACCTGTTTTATGGTTATGTGCAGTAAAGCACAGATAATTGGGATGGTACAGATCACAGTTGAAATGTCCAGATTAACAAATTTCCAGGTTAACAAATCATTGGTACCAAGGCTTGGACAATATACCAACTGTAAGATTCAATGCATATCATAATACCTTGCTCACGATCCGATATGTATCATGATACATGCATGTGCTGTTGTCAGTGGTGCGTAAGCCATCTTTTTCATAGACAGGATGACCAAATACCTGGCACACTGATGATTTGTAGTTGGGAGTGTCAAGTATGGCGCAATGGATGAAAATATGTATGTTTTCACTTCCCATTTTCACTTGTAATTAGTTTTTGATGTAACATTTATTAAAGATTACATTTTAGTAAGAATCGATTTACTTAGTGTGTGATTGTGATCGATACTTGTATCGAGAAGTAAAAAATCACGATCCAGAGATCCACTACTAATTGTCCCACGTACTACTAATTGGTACTGAGTTCTATTCCATCTGTTTATGAACACATTCCAAACAATAATAAAACAGCCCAGGATATAGGGGTTCCGTGCTAACAGGCATTTTGCTGTGTGTGAGTGTATATCCTGGGAGGTGCTTGATTCTGGAGACATATTTGTGTTGTGCTTGCCTGACTAGGTTGGCAATATATTCTAATCAAGGGCTTGATGACACATTTGTGGCTGTACTTCTGGTGGGAGGAGTGAACAAACAGTAAGTTTTGGCAGTTGAGTGTGCTGGCTAGTCTGGCCTGAAAACAAACACTGGATTGTTTTTTTTTTATTTTATGAAGTCCTTCTTTAGTGAGGGAAAAAAAACCTTAAATGTATTATGTGTATAACTGCTTCAAGCACCTTACTCTCAAAGATTTTTTGAAGTTAAGAATTTCAAGCATTCGCTATCATCCGTGACACAGCTTTGTAAAACAATGCAACTATTCATATGAATAAAAACAAGACGTAAACATCCCATTGAATAGTCCCGACTGTCAAAGTTATATAATGACTTCTCCCTTAATTTAAAACCTCTCGGCCACTCTGTCAGTGTTGTGTTACCCACAATTATGGGGGCCTATTCTACTTGCTATGGTTGCTTTGCTGTTGTGTATGAATAGAGGTTGATCGGAGGTAAACAATATTCAGACTGAGTGATCGCCTCCCAAGAGATTTTCTCCCATGCTGAGCACAGGTATAAGGTGGAAAAGCTTGTTTAAGTTTATTCATAGAGCATGAAAGTTGGTCTACTGGTTAAGTAGGGATATATGTTGTGTCCTAGTTAACCCAGTGTCCTAGGATGTGTATTGAAATTGTACATTAATTCCTGTTTATGTCTTTCTCTTGGTGACCGCCTCCGTGGTCAAAGTGGTAGTGAGTCTGCCTTGAGAGCGGAAGGTTCGGGGTTCAATCCCCAGACGCATCATACCCAAAGACGTTATAAGATGGCACTTGTTGTTACCCTGTCTGGCTCTTGGCATTAGGGGGCTAAAACAAGGACTGGTCGGCTCTGAGTCTGTATACTGTGTCTGAGTGGGGTATTCATGTTAAACTGCGGCATGGTATCTCTGTGGGCAAGCACTTTAAAATTGGCATTAGTCAGGACTAATACAAGCAGCTGAACACATGCACATGCACATGCACGTCGCTATATATGTGCGATAATCTTCAAGCGTTTTTAAATCCCATTTCACTTCACCTCACCTTGATCTTCTTGTTTAGAAGTTAGAGGGTCGGTTGGAAGCCTTAGTGGTAAAGGCGTTCACTCATCACACCCTATACTCATGGTCAATTCCCCACATGGGTACAATGTGTGCAGCCCATTTCTGGTGTCCCCCGCCTTAATATTCCTAGAATGTTGCTGAAAATGGCGTGAAACCATACTCATTCACTCCCACATTGTAGTCATGATCGCTCTGTTCCATTAAAAATGTCATCGACTAAGTCATGGGTGGCCCAGTTGTTGGCAACAAGATTAGCTGTGTAGAATTTTGTCTCACAAAGTCTCAGTTCTGGGTTCAAATCCCAAATTCATCTCGATAATAATCTTGTCAGCACTATTTTGTTACTCATTGGACAACCTCACCATTTTGACTTTGAGTTGGTGAAGGATGGCTCACTGGCCTAAGAAGCTGCAGTGTGCTGTGCAGAGTTGTGCCCCTTAGCCACACCAGGACCCACTGATGGTTAGTTAGTTGCCCTGATTTGACCTGATTATGATCCTTGGTTTGTCAGTGACCAGTTGGCTGTCACCAAAGTGGTGAACGTCTATGATCTTTGGACCTTTGACCTGTATTGATTGTAATAATCATTGTAAAACCAAACCATAAGTTTAAGTCTCAAAGACTTGCATCAATTCAGTCTCTGTTTCTGCTTCAAGCTGCAGTGCATGTGATCAACTGAAATTCTGTTCAAAACAGGATAAAATCAACTAACTCACTCACTCTTGGAGTCATCTGCTTCCTTGCTGCAATTAATACATTAGGTGTGCACGACAGCTGAATAGCCACTAGCAGGATTTTGTCTTTATTCTTAAGTTTTGTAATTCAATTTAAAGCAGCAGTATTGCAATTTTCACTTCAAAATTGATTCAGTAAATTCCAGATCCTTGGTTTGGAGGATGATAATGGTAAAAATAGTGGAATTTGAAAACTCGGTATTAAATTTAGACTATTAACAGCTTTGGTCGTTACACCATGAACATATCAATCTTATCATACATGAACTTTCCAGTTGATTATACAAGTAAACCTTCCATCACTAGCTAGAGACCAATTAGGTGCCATGTTCCTGGTATCGCCCAGGTGGGGTGTTGTATAACAAGCAGATAGCTGACATTTGCTGTGTGTTTATATCCCTGTGAAGATAGACATCTGGTTGATAGGTAGGATATCATCGGAAATGTCAGGATGATGTGGCGGCTGAATATACACTGGTACTGATTCAAGTGCATAAACTGGGAAATGTGGGGGCCCTGTGTAGGATGATTTAGCCAGACATGGAATGATATATCCCAACAAAGGGTGATCATAGCCAAACATGGGATGATATATCTAAACACTGGGTGGTATATCCCAACAAAGGGTGATATATCCCAACACAAGATGAAATATCCCAACATGAGATGATATATCCCAACATAGGGTCATATATCCCAACACAGCGTGGTATATCCCAACACGGGGTGGTATATCCCAACGCAGGGTTGTATATGCCAACACATGGTGGTATATGCCAACACAAGGTGATATATCCCAACACAGAGTGATATATCCCAACACAGAGTGATATATCCCAACACAGGGTGGTATATCCATACACATGATGGTATAACCCAACACATGGCGGTATATCCACACACAGGGTGATATATCCCAACACAGGGTGGTATATCCCAACTCAGGGTGATATATCCCAACACAGGGTGGTATATCCATCTATACACAGGGTGGTATATCCATACAGAGGGTGATATATGCCAACACAGGGTGGTATATCCTAACACAGGGTGATAAATGCCCACACAGGGTGGTATATCCTAACACAGGGTGATAAATGCCCACACAGACTGATATTATATTTTCCCAACATAGGGTGATATAGCCCAACACATGGTGATATATTACAAAGTAGGTTGTTTTGTCCCAATACAGGGTGAAATGACTCAGCATAGTGTGATATATTCCATAGCAGGGTGATATATCTCAACGTACATGGAAATGTTCTTACATAGGGGATGCCTTGCTGTACACCCCAAAATGAGGGTGTAACAGGACTACAGATTGTCAGCAGCATCTTTTCAGGTAACCCAGCTTCTTTGGTGAGTTGGACAAGGTGTCTGATCTCAGAAAAGAAGCACTGAAGTTGAGTCCCATCTTAAATCTCTTGCATGGCTGCTTCAGTAGGTCGTTCGATCCCCCTCCATTTCATACCAAAAGACGTTAAAAGATGGTACTTGTTGTTACCCTGGCTGGCACTCAGCATTAAAGGGATAACAATAATATATGTGTCATATTATTGACTAAGAATATATCTTTTGTCGTTTCAGAGTTGCACAAGCAACACAGGGACAAGCTTGAAGATATCACACACCGCTTTGAGAGCATCAAGATGACACTTGGGGTAAGAACTTTTTTCTCTCATTCTGATGGATATGGGATCATTCTTTTAGCAATCATTTTGATATCATATAGTCCAGATAAACATTCTTAATCATGGTGTATAGGAAACAACAACAGCATCTGTGTATCACAATAAAACTCACTGTTCCACTCATGGTTTCAGTCATAATACCAGATATTGTAATAAATATACAGTTCGAAGCAAGTCACAGCTATCAAACACCAAAAAAAACCCAGCAACTCAGAATCTGCTGAAATATTGCTGAGATTGCTTTAAACTAGATTCACTCACTCACTCATAAACGTGACATATATGACTGGAATTCTTGGCATCTGTTCCTGGAAGTTTGCCCACTTGTAAGAATAAACTATTATCTCTTGGACACATTCTCATGCTTTACTGCAAATTAATGACGAAAATATCTTATCTGTAAGCCTGCTGATTATAAAGTGGCCACACCTGAAGTTTGTCTCAAGGAATACAGTACTTGTGTGATAAGCGCTTACTTTAACCATTGTTTTATTACTGTTATATCTCATGTACTTTAGTGTGTGACAAATTTGGTATGTGATAAATAACGTATCGCTCCTCTAGTCTTTAGTGTTGTGATGCATCAGGACATTTTATGAAACTTGTCAATTAATGCTTTTATTTTCAGAATAAAGTATGGTGATTTTAAGTATATGGATAAAACAATATACAGCGTACTAACAAACATAGACAGTACTCTAATAGTAATATCCTACACTGAATAAAAAAAGTTAGGGATCATGAATATTTTGGTTGATATTTTGTTGTAGTGAAGACTGAGCAATTTTATAAAATATCCCCAAAAATATTCATGATCCGTAACTTTGTTTGTTCAGTATATTTCACCACACTAGTATAAACAAACTAGGCAGTTAGAAGCAGAGCTCGGCATTTGGAGGCTCAAACAAGGACAAACATAAAACTGGTACAAGCAGGCATACTATCTAGACTACCATCTTGCCTCATGTTGGATGGAATATTTCCTTAAAGCATACCAAAATTTCTTTTTCTCTCTCCTTTAAAATCTCATTGTTCAACATACTTAAACATGAAATAATAGATACAACAGAGTTCTCTGCCCTGAATAAATGATAACCTTTTTCAGTGAGTCCCTTGTTTGAAAACTTTATATATGTTCCATGATTAACTTCGGTATACATATAGCTATTAAGTCAAGGTTACTTGTACAGCTATCAACAGTCAAGGTTACTTGTACGAGATACAAAATATCTTTGCTGATTTGCCAACATCTGGCGGCAATGAAGACAACTCTCATCCCCATTACCGGGATAGACCCCACCGGTCATATCTATCTAGTCTGCAGATAATATCAGACAAGTAGTTTGTTTCATAACTAGAATGGGGAGAAAACACCATGTACCTCTAAATTAACAGATTAGTGGCTGTGTCTATGTGTTGGAGATGCTACGGTGCTTACTATAAATATCCCAGTTAGCAAATCTGGAAGTCCCTAGTTTTATTTCATAAACTGAACTAGGTCTACCGGTAAATACAATGTTTCTCTAACTTCCGGAAGTATAAGCCCTTTAATGTAATCTTGCGAGAGAAAACGAGATCTTGTCCTCATTTCTCTGGCTTCGAAAAGCAACACACGTGTTTAACTTACGCTCAATACTTTGTGTTTTTATTATAACTTACTGTGGGTTTATTTTAGAGCATAGTACTTTTATTTGGACCTAGGAAGCAGTCCGGCAACTAGAGGAACTCTGTGTCCCTTAATTTTTCCTTTTACTGGAAGTCCCTAATGGTTGCAAGTAGTATGAGTGTGTACTTGCATGGAACAACTGGTGCTATGTAAATCTTCTGACACTTTAATGGACTGATATTATGAGATATATCAATGTGTAAACACACAGACTTCAGGGGAGATGTACACCTGATTTATAGCTCATTATGTACCAGATGCTGTGAAACATCACAAGATTTTAAATACCCTTGTCACATAGAGGCAATTATATAAGTTGGACTGAAAATGAGGGTAGTGTTTCTTTCTGGAGCAGAACTCCAAAACTGTTAAATATTTCAAGATGAAACTTGCTATACAGATCAGTCTTGTGGTGAACTGGTTCCTTTTGATGATTTGGGATGTTGAAAGTACTGAACAGCATTATTTCTTAACTGAACTGAAGGTATCCAATTGCAATGAACCAAAAGTGGGGTATAAGTAGGCAAATTCCATTTCTGAGTTGCACCAGAACAGGGGATATGTCATCTCCTGATGACTCTTTTTGTCTTTTAATCCAATCATTTTCAGTCACTTGGAGATGCAATTCAACTTCAAAATGTCTGGAATTTATTATCATTATAAAATAAATGAACATATTTTTAATCAATTTGTTAAATGACTGAAATATTTTTTACGCATTTTGTAAATTGCCTAAGTAAGAATTTCAGTTATTTTACACATTGACTGTAACATTTATACGGTTACCATATATGCTGATGCTTTTTCAATAACCCTATTGGTCATTAGAGGCAATCAAATGGATCAGGCGTTCAGGCTCGGTGACTTGGTTGATTACATGTCATCGTACCCTAAAGCCATGGATCGTTGCTCACAATATCAATCTCTTAACATGCCGCTGTCATACAGCTGGAATACTGCTGAGATCAGCTATAAACAACAAACTAACTGAAGCTTATGCCATATGCTGACTCATAGATCACATAAGGGGACACTTGTCATCTAAGGTGCCATGTCAGGTCTGCTGGTCATGGGTTTGAATCCAAGATTAGCCTTGATTATGATCCTTGGTCTGTCAGCATAACACCTGTATTCTTGTGGTGAACTAGTAATATAAGCTGATACAAAAAAGATGCTATTCAAAGTGACATAAGACCTAACTTACTCACTCATGTATTTATCATTATGTAATATATTTATAACATCATAGACCTGCTTTTATACCATAGGCTAATGGTGAACTAACATCTACAGACTTCATCTTAATAAAAGATCTGTGGTAGAATAGGTCTCCAGCAACCCATGCTTGCTGTAAAAGGCGACTATGCTTGTCATAAAAGGCGACTAACAGGATTGGGTGGTCAGGCTCGCTGACTTGGTTGATACATGTCATAGTATCCCCATTGCGTGGATCAATGTTCATGATGTCAATCACTGGATCATTTGCAGACCGCTGTCATATAGCTGGAATATTGCTGAGTGCGGCGTAAAAGAACAAACCCACTAAATCATCTTAATAATTCAGAAATGCCATTGGAACCCTTTTTGTATTTAAGACAGTATTTTTCCTTCCTCACTTAACCTGACTTTGCACTTGTCATTAAACAAAATGGAGTAAAGTGCTGTCACTGACTTTTGGATGTGGTTGGATGATAAATGCCAGGGAGACATATTGTCAACTGTTCTCATGCTCAACTGCGCCATTGTTACGTCATGTGACTTGGTCATGTAAACATTGCTCACACTATCCACCACTGGTTTGTTTGGTGAAGTGTTCACTACTTCACCATCAGATTTGGTCAATGATAAGTCGCTGAAATAATGCAGGTGTCTAGTACCTAGTTCAGTCACTCATTCAATTTCCTCTGTCTTTCTTGATCATGTCAGGGCGGTCGGGTAGCCTAGTGGTTAAAGTGTTCGCTCGTCACGCCGAAGACTCGGGTTCGATTCCCGACATGGGAACAATGTGTGAAGCCCATTTCTGGTGACCCCCGCCGTGATATTGCTGGAATATTGCTAAAAGCGGCGTAAAACCATACTCACTCACTTGATCATGTCCAAATTCAACATGCATCAAACAATGTCAAAGGTTGCATAAGCTGCTCAAATATGAAAATTTTGGATGACTGTTAAATAAACTCATATAAGATATTATGAATGAATTGTAAGAGTTTCGTAAGAGGCGACTAACAGGATTGAATGGTCAGGCTCGCTGACTTGGATGATGCATGTTATCATATCCCAATTGTGTGGGTCGAGGCTCATGATGTCAATCACTGGATTGTCTGGTCCGGACCGCAGTCATATAACTGGGATTTTGCTGAGTGCGGCGTTCAACAACAAACAAACAAACAAACAAACAAAAAGTTTTGAGGATATGTTGTGGTGGCTTCCTGGTTAATGCATCTGCTTGTCAAGCTGGAGACCTGGGTTTGATTCCCCATATGGGTATAATGTGTTAACCAACCCCCAACACACATACACCCTTGACTACTGTTCAAAGTGGTGTTAAACTCACATTTGTTTTAAATGTTTTTTCCCTTCTTGATAGTTGGTAAACCTAGACATAAAAAAGCGTGAAATGATAAGTAAAATTTTCAAGTTGTTTTTGTTCATGAATATTAAGACTATTTATCCATTTAGTTATGTTATGTAACTTAAATTAGTGCCTACTGATGACATTTTACCCTGATGATCCTCCTTGTTCCAGGAGAAGGTTGAGACTCTGAGGGGTGAGTGTGAGGACTTCCGACTGAGAGCCAAGATAAGTGAGGAGGCCCTGCTCCGAGACTCGGATGTCAAACTCCAGGTACAACCTGCCCCATCATCATGTTGTGAACAAACCAAACCTTCCCCATGCTTGTCTTCCCGTGGGGATTCTGGGTCAGAATAGATCCCCAGTTCCCCATGCTTGTCTTCCCATGGGGATTCTGGGTCAGAATAGATCCCCAGTTCCCCATGCTTGTCCTCCCGTGGGGATTCTTGGTCAGAATAGATCCTCAGTTCCCCATCCTTGTCTCCCTGTGGTGATTCTGGGTCAAAATAGGTCTCCAGTACCCATGCTGGTTTCGCTATTGGGATTCTGGGTCAGAATGGGTGCCCAGTTATTACTCACTTTCTACTTTTGATCACAATTTTCCAAGTGCTTTTTTTTTTTTAATAAAGTACTTACAGTGTAGTAAGCTTGTGTTTCGTATTTGTTACTAGCTTGCCCTACAGCCATTCCGCAACCTGCCAGCAGAGATCGAGAGTCTAAAGCTGGTGATTGAGATGCGAAACCAAGAGGTCCAGAAGCTCCGCAAACAGAACATGGAGCTGGAGAAACAGGTAGGGTGGGATGAACAGGGACCTGGGCTTCACATAATATGACAGGGTTTGGAGTGGAACAGGTGCTTGCTCAGGGACTAGTGACATGGGTGGGAGGGGACCAGAGGCTTTCTCAGGGATGGAAGGGTACATTGGTGGGAGGGGAGCAGGTGCTTGCTCAGGGATGGAAGGGTACATGGGTGGGAGGGGAGCAGGTGCTTGCTCAGGGATGGAAGGGTACATGGTTGGGAGGGGAGCAGGTGCTTGCTCAGGGATGGAAGGTACATGGGTGGGAGGGGAGCAGGTGCTTGCTCAGGGATGGAAGGGTACATGGGTGGGAGGGGAGCAGGGGCTTTCTCAGGGATGGAAGGTACATGGGTGGGAGGGGAGCAGGTGCTTGCTCAGGGATGGAAGGGTACATGGGTGGGAGGGGAGCAGGGGCTTTCTCAGGGATGGAAGGTAGTCCTGCACCATGACTGTAGAACATCTAGATATGTATACAAAAGCAAATCTAGCCAGCTCTAGCTAGCTCTCTTCCACATGAAATCAGCAGGAAAATCATTTGTTTAATTTTAGAGGCGAGAAGAATATTGTGTAATATAAGATTTCATCGACTAAATGTTAGTGGAGTGGATTGAAGGGTACATGGGTGGGTGGGGAGATGGTGCTTGCTCAGGGATGGAAGGGTACATGGGTTGGAGGGGAGCAGGTGCTTGCTCAGGGACACAAGGGACATGGGTGGGAGGGGAGCAGGTGCTTGCTCAGGGATGGAAGGGTACATGGGTTGGAGGGGAGCAGGTGCTTGCTCAGGGACACAAGGGACATGGGTGGGAGGGGAGCAGGTGCTTGCTCAGGGATGGAAGGGTACATGGGTGGGAGGGGAGCAGGTGCTTGCTCAGGGATGGAAGGGTACATGGGTGGGAGGGGAGCAGGTGCTTGCTCAGGGATGGAAGGTACATGGGTGGGAGGGGAGCAGGTGCTTGCTCAGGGATGGAAGGGTACATGGGTGGGAGGGGAGCAGGGGCTTTCTCAGGGATGGAGGGGAGCAGGTGCTTGCTCAGGGACACAAGGGACATGGGTGGGAGGGGAGCAGGTGCTTGCTCAGGGATGGAAGGGTACATGGGTTGGAGGGGAGCAGGTGCTTGCTCAGGGACACAAGGGACATGGGTGGGAGGGGAGCAGGTGCTTGCTCAGGGATGGAAGGGTACGCAGATTGGAGAGAGAAAGTACAAGTACTGATCACAATGGCATTAAACCTAAACCCCTCACTCACTCTGTGTTCCAGCTGGAGGAGCTCCCGATCGCCAAGGAGAGGATAGACTCACTTCAAAAGAAGTCCGAGAACCTCGAGGCCATCATCAATATCAAGACAGACCATGAAAAGTAACTCCATTTGAAGAATTTCAAACCTTTGTATCCTCTGTAGGAGTGCCGTCTCAACCTGGTTGTTTTCTTTGTGATTGAATCACTATTCAAAGTGACACTAAACCCACCTCACTCTTGTTGATCTTTTATCTAAAATTTGTAATTTTGCCAAATGCTGTGCAGAGCTGCTTCATTTACCTGCGAGAAGTTGTGTTGGTTTCATTCCCAGATATCCCTATTTTGAGAGGTGATGGGGTAGCCTAGGGGTTAAAGCGTTCGCTCGTCATGCTGAAGGCCCAGTTTCGATTCGGATCATTCCCCACATGGGTACAATCTGTAAACTTATTTCTGGTTACCCCTGCCATTATATATAGATGGAATATTGCTTAAAATGGCGTTAAACCAAACTCACTCCCTCGTTCCTTATTATGATCTTGGTTCAGTCAGCACCATTGTATCACTCAGTGATTTGGCTTCCTTCCAACATTGAGCTGATATATCATGACAGAGCTGAGGTACTGTTAAAGCATCATAAAGTCCCAACCCATTCATTCATGGGCATCATAGGCACACATAAGCTTTAGACACTTTAATATCTTGATACGATAATGTTGATGTGGCATATTTTCACAATATTGATCTATGAAACGATCATTTATAGCCATGTAAACTGTTGACTCTGACCCCATGAAGATCCAGGGTAGAATAGGTCTGCAGCAACCCATGCTTGCCGTTAAAGGCGACTATGCTTGCCATAAAAGACGACTAACGGGATCGTTTGGTCAGGCTCGCTGACTTGGTTCATGCATCCCAATTTGTTGATCGATCCTCATGATGTCAATCTCTGGATTTTCTGGTCCAGACTTGATTATTTACAGACTGCCGTCATATGGCTGGAATATTGCTTAGTGAGGCGTTAAAAAAACCCAAACAAACAAACAAGCAAAACTGTTGACTCTGAAACTACTCTCCTTGTGACTATAACAACGTATTTGTTTGGCAGACAACTCCATGAGAAATGCCAGAACCTGATGCGGAAGTATGACAAGGAGAGCAAGGCCAACAAGCGGCTGTCCATGGACTATGAACAGCTTATGTGGAAGGTGGACCAGCAAGACTTCGGCTCCACCGAGAGCTTGTATCGCCGCCAGCTGAGTAGGTCACCGCCTCGCAGCGAGTGCAGCTCACCTGATCCAATGAGGAAAGGCTTGTCACCGATTACCAGCGAGAACGACTCGCCATGCCGTCGGTCACACAAATCTGCATCATCCATGGGAGATGATTCCTTTGAGCGCAAATTGAAACGCCGCTCAGCAACATTTTTGTTAGAGAAGGAGAAGTCTTCCCCATCAGCTAGCCCACAAGCTAAGCGTCTTTCTCCGAGTAGTTTTGAAAATTCGCCCCCGAAAGTTATGACTCAATCTGCCCCTGGGGAACTTTCGTATACTGTCTCCCCGGCGACAAGTTCACCAGCTGACTCAAGTTCCTATTCTGTCTCACAGTCTATGTCTCATTCTATGACTCAGTCAATGACACAATCTATGACACAATCTATGACAGATTCAGACATTTTTGGCGATTTTGAATCTTCCGGAATAGTTACAAATGGACATGAAATCTCAGTGTCAGTCGTGTTGCCACCAGAATCAGAAATTGAACCCGAAGTTTTCGCTGTGATTGAAGAGAAAGAGAAGAATGAAGCAGTGAAGGATGAGGTGGAATCGAAAGCGTGAGCAAGGGGAGATAACTGTGTTCATTGAGAGGTGCTTCAGTGAATGAATGAAATCCTGAAATATAAGTCTTTCAACTGTTGATATTTCTCAGTCTTGTGTCAATGTCGTGATTATGAAAACCACTTATTAAGACCACTTTTGCCTGAAAACTATCTGATCATGTCAAGGCAAGGAAAGGGAGGTAACTCTTAGACATCAGCTGAATGTCAAATTTGAAATGATTTAGGAATGGCTCCTAAATATTGGGGGTCTTAGAAATAAAGGTGTTTGTTTGATATATCCAGTGTGCAAAGTATTTGAAAATATCCAACGATGGTCATAGGATTGTGAGTTTGTCTTCAATGAAATTCGAATGGAATATGTCAGTATGTCTCTAGAGTGTTGAAATACAGATTTTATGTCATTCCATCTATTTGAATATTTAAATTACAACTACTAATTGTATAATATCTATTTGACTATTGTACTGTATGTACGTGATTTGTGCAATATTTGATGTAGTGATAGCAGCTTACTGTGGTTCAGATTAAAATAAGCTATGTAGAAGAAGATATAAAAGTTAATCTGTAGAATATTACTGTGGTGTAAACTTTGTATTTATGAAATCTTGACCATGTTAACATGTTTTGGTGTCTCTTAAAGTGCAGTCTTGTTTTCAAATTGCCCATGTTTTGGGCGCATGGCTGTTCAAAACTCTAAATGTTACCATGTTCTTTTTCATAATACCTTGTCAAGAAAATTGATGTACAATTTGAAAATTGATTTGAGCATATTTCAAACTTTCTTATGATTCTGATGTATTTGCCTTTGCCTTAATGAAATTCAACTTTTCCGTATGCTACCATGTATTAATTGTCAATGAACCTTGAAAGTTCTGAAAGATATGATTTGGGTAAACTCACGGTTGGATTGTGCTGATGCATTGAAATTAGGGGATGAAGCATTTCTATTCAATTGGCATATTTTACCTTCTTGCATTTAACAACCTCTTTCAAGTACTTTCTCCCCATTTCTACCTCATATTGGATGTGTTTACTAGCTAAGTGTCACAGTTCTGTTGAATATTGTCACACACCTGCTTTTGTCAATATGTTACAGAGGAATTAATCATGGTAAATTCATACAAATTATTTGTCATGATTTTTTTCATAAATTCAAACATTGTCTGCTGAATGTGACAAAAATCACTAGTCAGTGTAGTTTTTAAAATGACATGATCTAAGGGAGTTAACTCCACATGTGATGTAGGACAGTAAGGTCAGTGAAGTGCATAGTGAATCTATTCAGCAATAGATTTGAGAAAATAAATTTGTATTGAGCTCTACTGTTGTAATGTGTCGGTAAATTCAGACTCTTTATATTCATATCATAATATTGTAGAGGTCACTACGTTTCCACTTTTTCGTTGACATATCAATTTCCTGTGTTTTATGGGTGTGTATAGAATAGGTCATTTATGCGATTGTTAATACAATCTCAAACTTGTAATAAGTTTTCATAACTTGTTCATATGCAAATTAATCTGTTGACAAATAGTTTCAAAATTGATTTGAATTTAAAATTGTATGCAAAATTAATTGGTTTTCAGTGTTAGTTGTAAATACGTTGATTACACTGCCACCAAATTTCATATTGCTGTTCATGGCAACTACTTGATAAATTTAAGTGATCATGATTTGCTGTAGTTCATTTGCAATTAAATTGCAGTTTTCATCCATGGTGTATTAATACAGCGTACAAGTTGTAGTCACGTTTGATTTGATGTATGTATTTGTGTGCGACATGAAGGTTACAGTCAGGTTGTTCGTTTGTTCATTAAACCATTGTTTACAAATATGTAAGTGCTAAGACAATTTTGTGTTAGAGGGTCCTGTTATTTTCCTCTTCAAGACGAGGCAGTAACAGAGTATGAGAGAGCATTAGAGTGAAGATTTAGTTGTGATTCTATTTGTTTAATAGAATGAGAACCGCACAATGAATTTGCTTGTTTAACAGTTTTCTTTGGTCAATATGCACACATTTAAGATGTAGGAGGCAAGAATAAATATGTAAGGACACACCACAAGTTTTAACAAAAAATAAAAAGCAAAAAGATGTTTTGTAAAAATTACCAATATTTTAAATTACAACATTTTAATTCATTTTGTCAGACTTTAGCAAAGTTAGGAGATTACTTGTTTGTAAATAAGAAAATTAATCGTATTGGCCTACCAGGGTTTTTCCTTAGCCAGCAAACAAGCTATATATCCTAAATTTTCCCCAAAATTGTCCAAGACAAATTATTCATAGTGATAATTTTCCTGTTACAAATCCTATTTCAAAATATTGTATGGCACAGATTTTTGTGACATTGGAATCATGTGCTATTTATATTCTGTTTTACATGAACTGATAATCAAAATTTGTTTGTCAATATTTGTACATTCTTCAACAATTTCTAAGTAAATAAAAGTGGCATTTTATGACGACACATTCTCTTTGATGGAAAGTACTGAAATGAGTGGTTAGTAACAAATGTTTTATGGCTATAGTTCAATCAATATAACATATGTCTGTTAATGAAATGAGTTATAAAGTGATATGGCAGATCCATGGAATATAGCTTACACATTAGTCCATGGTTAAAGAGGATGAACCACAAATTTTAGGAGTACGGTGTTATTTCCTTTTTGTATAAAACATTGAAGTTGATTATATCAACATGGTCTCTCAGTGTTCAGAAAAATCAGGATTTCTCACCTGAGTATTATGTGAGAACTAGAATACCCTTCTCTGATGTGAGTGCAGGATCCTCATCATTCCACTGGGGTGGAGGGGCAGCCTAGTGGTTAAAGCGTTCTCTTGTCACGTCGAAGACCAGGGTTTGATTCCCTACATGGTGAAAATGTGTGAAGCCCATTTCTGGTATCCCCTGCCATGATATTGCTGGAATATTGCTAAAAGCGGCATAAAACCATACTTACTCACTCTACTCCCATTGTGTGTTTTAACAGACATTTGCTGTATTGATGAGAATTATGATTTTCGATTTTCAAATTATTGCTGATTGTCAGTTCTGATTTGTCTAAACCATTTGGTCTGTTGTGTAAACCACACATCTGACGTTAAACTAACAAGTAATTGGTCCGGATTCTGCAATGACCATTGGTTAAGAATTTAGACTGACCTGATTGGTGGAAAGCTTATTGAATGTTTAGATCTGCCTCACTTGATTGGTCAGATGTCAGTCCTGCTATGACCTGATTGGTCAAATGTTAGTGATGCACAAATCTGATTGGTTGTAAATGTTAGCACTGTCACAAGCATCATCTTTGTCTGGTGTTGTGCATGATAATATGAGTATGAAGATGTAATAATATGATCTCTAGCCAGCAGGCAGCATTCTGTCGATTAAACATTATGACATAATATTCATCTTGTCATGTCTGTTCATATAAACATTAGACGTATTGGTTGTTGCATGTAGTGGTCTGTGGAGAATCACACAAGTGTGCAGAGTTGTGCCCCTTACTTCTGCAAGGATCCACTGACCATGGGCTTAGATAACAAATCCTCACTAATTGTCATCACCACACTCACTCTGAACAAGGGGGGCATGGATGGCCCAGTTGTCTCAGGCGCTGTGATTTGCTGTGCAGAGTTTTGTCCCTTGGGCACGCCAGAAACCTATGATTTTGGGTTCGAATCCTTTTTTCGCCCTGATTATGTTTCTAGGTTTGTCAGCACCATGCCCGTGCTCATGGGTTTCACCGAAGTTGTAAACGTTTGAGACCAGAATCACTTGAGGCTTTCCTCCCACATTAAGCTGACACGTGGTGATATAACTGGAATACTGTTAAAAGCAGCGTTAAACCAAACTCGCTCACTCAGACACTCACTCTGAACAAACCTAGGCAATGGTCTGGTAGAAGGTTGTCTGCCTGGAGAGTGGAAGTTCCGGGGTTCAATCCACGGGTGTGTCATACCAAAAGATAGTATGTGTTGTTGCCCTGTCTGGCGTCCGGCATCCGGCATCAAGGGGATAAAACAAGGACTTGTTGGCTCAGAGACAGTATACTGTGTCTGAGTGGGGTATTCATGTTAAACTGCGGCATGGTATCTCAGTGGGCTAGTGCTAATACAAGCAGACACACAAATGCAAGCACACACATCTCAAAATAAGTGCAATAATCTTGACCACCACATTAAACCTCATTTCACCCCATGTCCCCATCAGATAGGGACACGGATGACCCACTGATGCCACAGGACTGATATGCCCTGATTGTAACCTTGATCTGACAGCTCCTTACTCATTCTAATGACTCACATCAGTTGTAATTATCTACTAATTGCGTCTCTCTGGAAATTCCTGACACATTGAGCTGACAGGCTTTATATATCTGATATAATGTTTAAACTAAACTGCTCACATTGTGTTACATATTCCTAGTGACAATGGAAGCCCCGAGGGAAGGAAGTAATGAACATTTTATTCCCTCTTTAATGGAAAAAATCATATCACACCGAAAACAAATACCACATTTTACTATCATTACTTTTGTATATGATTAAACAGTACGTACTAAGCGATATGGCTTGATCTTAGCTGAGCGATATCTCCTGAAGAGGAGATTAATAATGTGTGATCAAATCATGACAGTCCATGGGATTTTATAACACTTCCCTCGTCAGTGTAAAGGGGGGTAACTCGTGTTATCCTCCAACTGGATCATAGGGCACGAGTATGAACATTTTGGGTTTCAATCCCACCCCACCACACCACACCACACCACACCACACCACATCCCTACTACTACGACAACTACAACATGCAATATTTCAACCATACAGCGACCCAATGTTTTTTGTTAGTGATAACGTGATACCTATGATTCTTGTTTTTAAATCACTGGAAATAATTTCACAATTTCTTTGATAAAATTTCATCCACCCCTGTATCGCCTGACCAAGAGTTGCGTTGCCAGTTCCAGATTCGCTCCGATTGGTTTGACAGTACCATGCCCGTGCGCATAGATTTCATCAAAGTGGTAAACATTTACGACTTGCGTCGCTTTTCTTCGACGAGCTGACAGGCTGTGAATCACAATGGTGTGTGCGTGCGTGCGTGTGTGTGTGTGTGTATTGCGCCGCATACAGTTATATTTAGCTATATGTCGGCGGCCTGTAGATAATCGAATCTGGACCAGACAATCGAGTGGTTGATATTGTGTGCAACGACCAACGATCTGGTGACGATGACACGCCATCAACAGATTCACTGAGCCTGACCACCGGATCAGTCGCCTCTTAAGACCAGCATAGGCCGCGTCATAACGAGAAAACGTTTAAATATGGTACTTGATGCTACCCTGCCTGGCGCTAGGCATTGAGGGACTAAAACAAGTCCTACTGGTCGGCTCGGAGTCAGTATACTGAGCCTTGGTATTAATTTTAAACTGCGGCATGGCACTATAAAACTGTCAATAGTACCCGATTAGTACACACGCACGCACGCACGCACGCACACACACACACACACACACACACACACACACACACACACACACACACACGTGCATGCACGCCACTATATAAGTACAATAGTCTTGAACGCTACCGACATTACACCCCATTTCACCTCATCTCACCTTTAATGACACCACTATTAAATTAGTTTAGGTAATTTCATCCCACGGGTGTCATTTGTTCCTGATCAGCACTGTAGATGTCCTAGTAACCGCGCTCGTGTGTGGGAATACACACTGACCTAATTTGGAACAGAGTAAACATTTATACACTTGAGAGGTTCACAGGTAATCGGGTACACACTTAATGTAAACGCATTGCGAGTGGTGATGTTTTCAACGAAAATAACGCGACTACCAAACCCAAATTGCTTTTTTGAACGCAATTTCCCAAACAACTGTATCCGCTCTTGCTACTTTGTAGATATAGACATCACACAATTGTGATCTACCATCCCGCGTTACACCATTAATGAGCACCTGTGAAGATCTGGGTTAGAATTAGTCTTCTGCAAACAATGCAACTGATAGGCGGCGATTGACGGGATCGGGTGGTCAGATTTGCTGACTTGGTTGATACAGGTCATCGTATGCAAAATGCGTAAATCGATGCGCATGATGTCAATCACTGCATTGTCTGTTCCAGACTCGATTATTTACAGACCTCCCTCACATAGCTAGTATATTGCTGATTGCGGCGTTAGTCAGCAAACAAACGAACAAACAAAGTATATATGAGATGAAGCTGAACATTCCTTAACGGTTTTACTCATGAGCTCTTCAGCTAAAGGGTCGATATGTCGTAGCCTTGTTGGTCGTCACGTCGATGACCCGGATTCGATTCCCGACATGGGTACAATGTGTGAAGCCCATTTCTGGTGTCCCCCGCCGTGGTATTGCTGGAATATTGCTAAAAGCGGCGTAAAACCATACACACACACTCACTCACTCGTCACGTCGATGACCCGGATTCGATTCATCAAAGAGACACAAGGTGTGAGGTCCAATGTAGGTGTCTTACGATATAAAATTGCTAAAAGGGGCGTTAAACCATTCTCACGAATTTCACTACTGAATCTGGTCTCCCTGCTTACGTTTCTAGGTCTATCAGAACCATAGCCGCGCTTGTGGGCTTCACGCCGGGTTTTCCCTCCCACATCAAGCTAACACACAGTGAGAAACCCAGGAACTGTTCAATGCGGCGTTAACATCAAACTCACTTACTGAATCTTATACCCGTGAAGACCCGGGTTAGGATAGGTCTTCAGCAACCCATGCTCAGGCAACTATGCTGGTCGTGAGAAGCGACTAACGGGATCGGGTGGTCAGGCTCGCTGACCTGGTTGATGCATGTCATCGTATCCCAATTGCGTAGACCGATGCTCATGATATCAATCACTGGCATGTTTGGTCCAGACTTGATTATTTACAGACCGCCAACCAAACAAACAAATACCGAATCATAAATGCCTGATTGTCAATGGGCCCATGTCTCCCAAACTTTACGAAGCGCCTGTAAAAGACTTGATAAAGCCCTTCATTGCATCACGGTTCGGCCATGAGTACATTTACAAAACACGGACTCCAGTAAAAGCGGATAATGAGTTTTTAAAACCATCACATAACCGAACAAAGCAGACGCTCTGCGAAGTACAGATGAGTTGAGGACACGACTCCGCATGTAGTCCCTGACATTTCGTCTGCCCCCAATCCCCTAACATTAATAACGACTTACGTTAATGACCAAGTAATGTCAGCCCCAAGTCCCTCGTATGTCCCTGCTATTCACTTGGGAGTCTTCATAAAGTCGTTGCCGAAGAACGACCCACATAGTAAGCTGATTCCACTGAAATCATCTGAGGATTAATTTTCGTGTGCGTTTTTAGTATCGCGCAATGTAACAATGTATATTAAGCTATTAGCGTCTGAAGCAAGACAAGCGGCCATTATCTTTGTTTGTGACATTTGTACAGAAGATCTTTCTTAACTGTGTATGCCTGTGTCCGGTTTCTGATGGTATGTAGTGGTAGAGATATAACTATGTATTCTTGGTAGCCTTTGTGGTTGAAGACGTGGAGCTCACTCACTCACTCACTCACTCACTCACTCACTCACTCACTCACTCACTCATTTCAAATCACTTACACAAACACCCACAATCCGAGCCACTCACTCACTCACCGAAATTCCACTCACTCAACCAAATCCATCCCATTCACTCACTCACTCACTCACTCCTGTGATATGGATAAGCATAGATATGACCGTGTTCTGAGTGAGTGAGTGAGTTGTGTTTAACACCGCTTTGAACAGTATTCTAGTTATATCAGGGCAAGTCAGCTTAATGTAGAAGGCAATCCAAAATGATACAGATGTGAAGGTGGTGGTGTGATCACTCTGTGAGAGGTGAGGGTGTCGGTATGACCACTCTGTGAGAGGTGAGGGTGGTGGTGTGATCAGTCTGTGAGAGGTGAGGGTGTAGGTGTGACCACTCTGTGAGAGGTGAGGGTGTCGGTATGACCACTCTGTGAGAGGTGAGGGTGGTGGTGTGATCACTCTGTGAGAGGTGAGGGTGGTGGTGTGACCACCCTGTGAGAGGTGAGGGTGGTGATGTGATCCCTCTGTGAGAGGTGAGGGTGGTGGTGTGATCACTCTGTGAGAGGTGAGGGTGTCGGTATGACCACTCTGTGAGAGGTGAGGGTTGTGATGTGATCCCTCTGTGAGAGGTGAGGGTGGAGGTGTGATCGTTCTGTGAGAGGTGAGGGTGCGTTTGTGATCGTTCTGTGAGAGGTGAGGGTGTCGGTGAAATCGTTCTGTGTGAGGTGAGGGTGGTGATGTGATCCCTCTGTGAGAGGTGAGGGTGTCGGTGAAATAGTTCTCTGAGAGGTGTGGGTGTAGGTG